GTTGGCGCCGATGTCCAGGGCGAATTCCAACTCTGGCAACTGCTTCCAGTTCCATTTGGATACATTGTCCCCCTCCCATCCTGTGCTGTCCTGTGCAGAACTAAATAGCTGCCCCATCCCACTCCAGAGGCGGCTGCATTCTTGTCATGTGTGAATGCACTCCCTGGGGAAAGCTTGTAAGTTGGTAAAGTCCTTGGGATGAAACGCTTAATTTTCCCACAGATTATCTTCCAAACTAAGTTGCTGCTGTTCCTTGGAAACGTAGCTCCAATGGAGTAGCAAGCTGCCATGGGATATAGTGTCCATAATGAGCACACCTCTTGAATTTGGTTCCAAGATCCCATCACCTTGGGGGTCTCTCTCCCTTTGGTGGTTGGAGGTTCTCTAAAACGAGCCTCTGGGCACTGAGCTGTCCGCTAGTTTTGTGTGATGTGGGGTCAGTGTGGCTTACCACTGGAGCTGTTGAAAAGCTCTTGCCAAAAATCATGATAGTCTGTTCTTTTTTTTTTTTTTTTTTCTATAAACACAATGTCTTGCAGCAAATGTCTGCTTTCTGTGGGCAACTTCAGCTCTTGTTTAAAAAGTCAGAGACCTGAAAACCAAAACTTTCTATTCAGAAATGTCTAAACATGATTTGACGCTTTTTGATCAACACAGTGTTTTGCAATTCCCAAATCAGCATCTTTCTCTTAATTCTGTTTGATGCTAAACCGCATTCTTCTGAGCTCCCACAGTGTCTTATGGGAGTTGTAGTTTGAGTGCCTTGTACCCCCATTTTCCTCTGTGGGCTGAACTCCTGGGCTGGACTACATTTCCCAAGATGCATCACAGTGGGTCAGCAAGAGGGAAGACTGATGCATCATGGGAAATGTAGTCTCACCAGGCAAGCCAGCCAATGGAGGCACCCAAACTGTAACTCCCATGAGGCTGTTCAGATGGACCCAGTCTAATGTCAGACTGACTTGAAACCAATGTGGCGATTTGGTGTGACAAATGGAAGTGTTTTCATTCGAGCTGACGCAATGGGATGTTCACTCTGGTTTCTGGCACAGCTGAATTTTTCCAGGGGGCGGGAGGGACGCTTGTTCTGACCAGCTCCACTAACCACCGGTAGAAGACTCTCAAACTGCTGCAAGCCCTAGAAGTTAAAGTGTGCGTCCGGTCAGCTTTGTGACTAATGCCTTGGGTGGGTTCTCCTTTCCCACAGTTCTAGGGAGCTCCGGAGGCCTCTTGGGCCGGTAGCCACATGGAAACCCTGCTTCAGTTGCCATTGCTGGAAGGTGGGGGATGGGGAGGAGCATGCAGTGGGGCTTCCCCGATTCAGAGCTTTGTGGGGCGATCCCGGCGCTGCCGTGGCCAATGGTAGCCCCCGGTTTGTTTGCCTTCACCGTGGCAGAGTGTGAATGCTATTGGATCGCATGCATGCGTCTGGAAGGGGAAAGGTGATCTCTGCGCAGGGAGCACACAGTTGGGCTCCCTGCCTCTGGGCTGGAGCCATCTTCACGCCCGCTGGGGCCTTAGGCTTTCCAGTCTGTCTATAAATGGAACATCCCTGGGGAAAATGTGGCTCTTTGTGGCGGGGGCAGCCGGAGCATGGGCAGTGCCGACTTCCCCCGTGCTGCCCTTCTGGTGTGCCGCAGCCTAGACTGGCTTGCTCAGAGGCCCCTGCTGAGAGGAAGATGGGGGGGGCTCTTCGGGACGGGAGGCAGTGGCTGTAATGGCTTTAGCTGCTGAGTGATCCCCCTCCGAGCTGTCACTCACGCTGCTGCCCCTGGTTCTTGCCCACAGGTCTCCCGGATAGCCGCCTATGCCTTCAGTGCGCTCTCGCAGATCCGAGTGGACGCGAAAGAAGAACTGGTTGTACAGTTTGGGATCCCGTGAGCATGCTCGCCCAAGAGCACCTCTTTCACTTGTTTTTTTCTTTGCTTTTTTTCCTCCCTCCAATCGGCGTCTCGCCGCTACGGAACTTGTACATAGCCCAGATGACCGACTAATCACAAAGGAGACAATAACCACCACTTAGGCCAGCCTGCTCCAGGCTTTCCCTTTCTCTTGTGTGGGTGGGGCAGGCCAGGCCAGGCCAACATAGATGGGTTGGGGGGAGGGGCTTTATCACATAGGAAGCCTTTATTGCACAGTGTTGACCACAAAGAGAAGAATCTCTCTAGTCACTGGAGTGGCCCTGGGGAAGGAGCAGGGGTAGCGTGGCCGCCTGGCTCTTCAGTCAAAGCAGATTGCAGTATTTGTACCTAGTTGCCACCTGTAATATTATCGGTTGGGGGAGGGGGAAATGGTTGTGTTCACGGTGACACACTGGAAATTCACCCCGCGTAGCATTGGTTTAAAAGCTTTCCCACGACGATCATGGTTAGTTTCAGGGGTGGGGCAAGACCGAGTTATATTTTTAAAGGACACACCGCAACAAATTGTGGCTGCCGGGGTCTGAGGCTCTGCTCGCAGGACTGGCTGTTTCTAACACCACTTGTTTTTACATGGTTGAACCTTTGTATTTTATTTTTTTTTTTTGGGCCATAATAGATAAAATACATTCATCCAACCCCCCAGTCTCCTCTGTCCCTTCTTTTCAAGCCACATCCCAGGAGCTTGTGTGGAGATCTTGGGTGAGAAGGAGCTGGCAGGGTCTGCCAGGAGGATCTGGTCTCGTCATCAAGCATAGAATCATAGAATACCAGGGTTGGAAGTGACCTCAGGAGGTCATCTAGTCCAACCCCTTGCTCAAAGCAGGATCAATCCCCAACTAAATCATCCAGCCAGGGCTTTGTCAAACCTGACCTTAAAAACCTCTAAGGAAGGAGATTCCACCAACTCCCTAGGTAACCCATTCCAGTGCTTCACCATCCACCTAGATAGTGTTTCCTAATATCCAACCTAAACCTCCCCCACTGCAATTTGAGACCATTACTCCTCGTTCTGTCATCTGCTACCACTGAGAACAGTCTAGATCCATCCTCTTTGGAACCCCCTTTCAGGTAGTTGAAAGCAGCTATCAAATCCCCCCTCATTCTTCTCTTCTGCAGACTAAATAATCCCAGTTCCCTCAGCAATAATGGAGCTTGGAACCAGTTAGTGGCCTGGGTTGTGGTCACACACATGCGACGGGCTGTGATTTAGTAGGGGTGTGGAACAACCCAGCTCCATTGCCGGGACTGTCCGACTTGGTCTCCCTCCCTCACCTTGCACCGTTGACTTGTTCCCTGAGCTCTCTGCGATAAGCTCTTATAAACGCTAAGACTTCCAGCCGCACGGTGGTGACAAATGCTCCTGGTATAATTCATACTTGGGGCCCTATCAAATTCACAGCCATGAAAAACATGTCATGGACCGTGAAATCTGGGCTACCCCCGTGAAATCTGGTCTTTTTGTGTGCTTTTACCCTATACTATACAGATTTCACGGGGGAGACCAGAGTTTATCAAGTTGCAGGTCCTGACCCAAAAGGGAGTTTCAGGGGGATCACAAGATTATTTTAGGGGTATTGCCACTTATACTTCTGTGCTGCCTTCAGAGCTGGGCAGCCAGAGAGCAGTGGCTGTTAGCCAGGCGCCCAGCTCTGAAGGCAGCGCTCCCCCAGCAGCAGCCCAGAAGGAAGGGGGGCAACACCAGACCCGGCCACCCTCCCTTCTGCGCTGCTGCTGTCGGAGCTGGGTGGCCGGAGAGTGGCAGCTGTTGGCCGAGGGCCCAGCTCTGCATGCAGCAGCGCAGAAGTAAGGGTAGCAGTACCACACCCCCATTATACTCTATGCGTCAGGACCCTACAATTACAACACCATGAAATTTCAGATTTAAATAGCTGAAATCATGACATTTACTATTTTTAAAATCCTATGGCTGTGAAATTGATGAAAATGGACCATGAATTTTGTAGGGCCCTATTCATACGGAGTCCTTTCCTGCAGCCCTGTGTTCATTAGTGCTACTTGGCTCAGCTTGTATCAAATGTGAATTGCCTGGCAAAGATGTCTCAACTGTGTTGACCAAAGGTGTCAGGAATGGTCTCCCGTGCAGAGTGGTGGATCTCTCCCTGCGGCTCTGGGTCTTGCATTCCCACCCACTGACCAGCAGGACTTCTCAGGGATGTACCTGTCTCTGCTAATGCCCTAGGGGCGTGACTCCCTCATAGGTACTGACCCAGGGCCTACCTGGGCCAAGGCATGCTGTGTGGCTGGAGGTGCACTCCCAGACGAGATGGCCACCTGTCACTGAAGAGACCACTGAGTGCACAAGAGATGAGGAGTTAGTTCTGTTGTCCTGCCCTAAATTGTAGCTTAGCTCACTGCAACCTGCTTCTCTAAATTCCTCTGCCATAAGGTCTTCTCACTCTGCCTAAACCGAGCCTGCAACCTATCACAGCTGCCCTTGCCCATCCTTGTTGAAGGCAAAGTGACCACCTGATGGGGGTACTTGTAGTTCAGAATTCAAGGCCAGCTTTCCCCTTAGGGCCCCAGTGTCTACCAACTAAATAGTATGCCCTACTATTGCACAGCCTAGCTAAGGCTATCCAAGCAGCTTTCAACTCCCTGCATGCAGTAGGTCCGTGTTAAACACTGTACAGAGGGGAAACTGAGGCACTGGGGTTTAAGAGACTCGTCCAAGCAAACTGACTCCCAGTCCTGGGCATGATTGCCCATCCTCCCCAAGGACAAGTTGATGCCAGCTGACTTGCTCTGGTTTGTGAAGACCTCACTGAAGGTTCTTTCTGCCAATATGCTGCTCTAGGGAATCACAGAGCCACCCTGTCTGTAGAGCAGGCTGTGGGGCTGGATCAGCTCCCTGCATGTAAAACTTGTCTTGGGACAGTCTTTAATCTAACAGGCGCCCATTCTGGTCATCAAAGCAGGCAACTGTGGGCAATGTTAGTTTCTAGCACAGTTCTAGCCTTACAGGAAGGATTTTAAAATCTTCTCCTCTGACCCTGGCCAGCTGCTGGCTCTGAACTCTGTTTCCTTCTCAGCTTTGGGGAACTGCCTATCAAGCTGCCTCAAAGTAGCTCCCAAACAACCCATGCTGGCTTCTTCAAATGCCACCCTGGCTGCTGCTGCCTGCTACCAGAAATGCTCCTGACATAAAGGTGAGACCCAGAGGCCTTGTGACTCCAGCTATGTCTACATGTGCTGCAGTCAAACCTTTGGTTGCAGTGTAGACGTAACTGGGCTACTTTGGTCCAGCTAGTTTGAGTAACAGGAGAATACTCAGTATCTCAGATGGGTTATGCAGTCCGCGCTGCCACAGCTTTCCCCATATTGTTTGAGCTAGTGTGCTCAAAGCTAACTCAGGTACATCTATATGGGCAGAAGTCATAGGTGCTGGAACAAGGGGTGCTGGGGGTGCTGCTGCACCCTCTGGCTTGAAGTGGTTTCTATCCTATTACAGGGTTTACAGTTTGGTTCGATGGCTCTCTGCACCCCCACGACACAAATTGTTCCAGCACCCTTGGCAGCAGTCACGGCTCTGAGTGCAGCAGGGACATACCCTCCATTGTAATCAAAACCCGTGTTCTGTGTGGCACAATCGATCTAACAAGCATTCAGATTGTCGAGTTGATATGGATGAGCTGCACTGGCTTCAGATCAGATCGTCGGTGGAAACGATAGAACAACTGCATTTATCTGTAATACTGCTCCGGGATGGGCTGCTTTGCAATCTAGACATCATGTGACTGCAACAAAACAAGGGTATGAAACCGCACCTCCTTAAGGCAGCTGGAGCAGTCCCACCAAAAGCTGTATAGTCTGAATTTTTTCAGTCCAGTAAGCTTCTTGGAATGAAAAAATCCACTGGTTTTTCACTCGTTTGCTCTGCTCACAATTTGGATCCCTGAGATAAGGTGCCGATTTTTAACAGAGAGGGCAATTGGAACATCCTCCCTTGGGCTGCGGTGGATTCTGCACATCATAATCTTTAAACGGCCATTGGTTGGCTTTCTAAGGCTATGTCTACACTACCACGGTAAGTCGACCTCAGCTACGTTATTCACGTATCTGGAGTTGTGTAGCTAAGGTTGACTTACCGCGGTAGTGTAGACATAAAGTCGACCTTAACTACACAACTCCAGATACATGAATAACGTAGCTGGACTTGACGTAGCTTAGGTCGACTTACCACGGGGTCCAAACTCCGCTGGGTCGATGGGAGACATTCTCCCGTCGACTTACCTTACTCTTCTCGTTTGGGGCAGAGTACTGGGGTCAACTGGAGAGTGATCTGCGGTTGATTTGGCGGGTCTTTATTCGACCCACTAAATCAATGCTCTGGGGATTGATGCAGCGGGGTTGATGAGGGGTGGGGGGGGTAGTGTAGACATAGCCAAAGAGATGCTCTAGTCAACCACATGTTACTGGCCTTGCTGTAGGACCACAGGGCGCAGTTCTCCAGCCAGGACTGTGCACGTCAGCCTAGATGATCTGTGCTCTCATCTGGTCTGAGCCTATGGAAATCATGGAGCCGTGTCAAGAAATTGGACCACTTTCAAAAATTTGAAATTCCACGTGGGAAAGAGTTGACGTGTTTAATAGTGCGCCAGCAAAACTGGGGCAAGGACCCCTCAGACCATTAACCCCGGAGCGTCTCTACCACCTGCTCCTGGCACAGCTGGTTGAGTTCATTCCTGTTCCTACGGCCAAGGGATGGGGATTTCCAGGCACAAGGGGAAGGACTGATGCAGGGTGATTGCCACCCCCAGTCACTCTGGTTTGTGGAGCTGGCCTGAGCATCCCAGGCAGCCATGGTTTTGGGTGGCTGGCTCAGCAGCATTAACACATTAGGGTCTTTAGGGAGAGGATCACAACTCTCTCTCTCTCTCCCCCCCCCCCCCCCCCTCCCCCATATCATCACTAAAGGGGTTGTCTTAAACTTCTGCTTTAGCAAGGCTGGCAGCTGCTTGGGTCTTAAGTGCACTGCAGCCCCTAGGCAAGCACAGGGAATGTGGGGGCAGGGGCTTGTGTTAAAGGAGAGCTGGGAGAGGGCGGTGCAGCCTTGCCAGGCTGAATTTCACCCCTTTGCCACCGTTTTTTTCTCAGTCTGAGGAGACACTGTCTTCAGCAAGGCACATCTGCTGGGCTGCATGTCCCTGCAGGTGGGAGAGCCTTCAGGGGTGGAGAAGCAGGTTGTGTGCCACTTTGCCCCAGGGCAGAGGGGAGCCAGGCAGGTGCTGTGCTACACCCCTCCCTTGCGTGGCCAATGGCTCCTTTGGCATGGTTAGAGGCTGGTGTCACTTAGAGCAGCCCTGAGGTTGCTCTCAACTATGCCAGATCCAGTGTAGAACTAGCCACAGATGGAACCCTGGCTCCCTCCCCACACTGTACTTCTCGGAGAAGGGAGCTCCTGGGCCAGATAGTATCTACCCAATTGGGGCCTTACCGAAGCCTCTCTAGTCACTGAAGTGGCCTTGGGGAAGCAGTAGGGACAATGAACAGCTGGAGGTGGGGGAAGATGTGTCTGGGAGGGGAATGGGTCTGACAGCACGGAACCAGTGCTAGTCCCAGGCCCTCACCTAGCCCACTGGGCATGCACTATCAGTTAACGGTCAGGGATTGGATTCAGAGTAACAGCCGTGTTAGTCTGTATTCGCAAAAAGAAAAGCAGTACTTGTGGCACCTTAGAGACTATTTGAGCAAAGCTTTCGTGAGCTACAGCTCACTTCATCCGATGAAGTGAGCTGTAGCTCACGAAAGCTTTGCTCAAATGAATTGGTTAGTCTCTAAGGTGCCACAAGTCCTCCTTTTCTTTAGGGATCGGATTGCCACTCTACCCTAGCGGCACCCATGCCTGGGCTGGCTCGAACATGCTTTGCCTCTTATCAGCCGAGCTTCTGATTTGCCTCTGGGCAAACTCTGCCTCTGGGAAGACAAAGGGCGAAGTGACAATTTCCTGTTGTGGGGGAGGAGGGAGTGAAGAAAGGGGCTGGAGCAGTTGTGCTAGAAGCCTCTTGGGGAAGTGATGACAGTGGCAGGCAGGGACTTGCATGGGGATGACACGACTAGCTCAGGACCCTGTGGCACAAGGGAAACCTGGCTGGCTCAGCTGGGAATGACTCTGAGCATTAAACACTAAAGCCCAGGGGGCAGGGCAGAGTAGCCTTAGAAGCTGCAGGCCTCATGACTGATGGGAGCCCATGATCAATCAAATGGTCACGTGGGACAGTCACTTACCAGCTTTCTTCCCACAAAGGAGCCAGGGGCCTTCAGGCTCATCCCATCCCTACCTGGACGACTGCCTCCTCTGCTTGTTAGTAAGGAGACCGAGCGTTTGGAGGTGGGCTGAGCGCATGATGAGGTCAGTGCCCGCAGGAGCGACTGGGCTCACGCTGCAGAGCCTGCCTGCTGGGGCCAAGGGAGGCAGGTGGCGTGGAAGATGGACAGTCCTGTTGTATGTAGCACTTTGAGCTGTTTGCCTCCCCGGGTAGGGACCCCTCTCTTTGCCCCTGGGCTCTAGCTGGGGGCTCTGCTGGGACAGTTCTGTGACCTTGCTCCTGCCTGGCTGGCTTTGGGTTTGATGTGCTGGGCACCGGGGGTTGCACTTTACAGTCCAGCCGTAGAGAAACCCCGTGAGCAAGCCAAGGGCCCGAGCCTCTGGGAGCGGTGCTGAGAAGGAAGCAGCCGGCGTGGGATCGCTAGCACCCCCTGACCACAGGTGGACTCTCGCTGGCAGCCTCAGCAGGAGCTGGCTGGGCGGGGAGGGGGCTGGAACATCTTAAAGGAGCCCAGCGTGGCAAGGCCAGCTCATCCAGTGCTGGGGGCACAACCGGGTCTTAGTGTCAGACGCCTCCTGGAGGCCCAGGGCCCCATTTCTTCCCCACCAGCTGCCTGCCAATCACTGGAGAGGAGGAGGGGCACTTCTCAGCCCCTCAGGAGAAGCTGGTGGAGCGAGCTGAGCACAGACCCTCCGTGCCAACAATGGCAGGCGTGTACCCAGCCCGCTGCCATGGCAGCCCTCCCTGTCCGTTTCCAGTGATGACCAAGCCCCATCCCTCGTAGCGATTCATCGTCCTACCCCACAGAGCTCTAAGCCTTTATTCCTAAGCGAACACGCGGGCTTTCCGCCCCCACAGGCCATGGCACTGGGCCCCGTTGAATGGTGCAGCTGCTGCTTCATCCCGTCCCTCAAAGGCCCTGTCCCCTCAGTAGTCGTCCTGCCTTTTCTTGACCTTCTTGGGTTTGACGTTCATACGTCTCCAGATGGTGGCGGTGGAGCGGTCCTGCTTCGTCACGCCACTGAAATCAAAGGACTTCAGCTGGGGCAGCACAGACAGCACATAACTCCTGCGGGAGAGCGGCCGGTCAGGCCCGGAACGGCGTGGGCTAGCAGGCCAGGGCCACTCCCTGTCCTCTGGCCTCCCCACCACAACGCCCGGGGGCGGGGGGTGCTTCTCCTCCCCGTCCTGCGGCTCATGCTGTACCCCCCAGTTTGGGCCTAGAGAAGCCCTTGGTAGTAGATCAAGGCACTGCTTCCTCTCCCAAGGGGGGCATAGCTATCTGCTGCAATCAGTGCGGCCCAGGAGCCCCTGGTCTGCCTTCTTTCACCTCCCTCCTATGGCCAGACACAGCCCATTGTGTCTGATCGGGGTGCCTGTGGGATCATGTTGGCACTAGGCCCCGCCGCAGCTGAGCACTGGAGCAGAGCAGATTGTATAAAATCAAGGGCAAGACCAGCCACGCGCTTCCCGTGGGCTTCTCCCTGGCTGGGTGGATCTTGGCATCGATGCTGTACCAGGCATCACTAAATTTAAAATCTGATTGGCCGGCCTGCTCCGTCATGCGTCTCGGAGCGATGGCAAGTGACTCTCCGACCACCAGTCCAGAACCACTGCTTGGGGCCTACACAACTCCAGCGTGAGCGAGGAGACTGGGCAGGGACTCAAGGGATCTGGGTTCTCTGCCGCTGCCCTGCCCTGCTGGTGGCCTTGGGTGAGGTCTGGGGACTGACTCTCACTATATGAATGTGCGGTACGCAGTGCAAGGGGACCCTGGTCCTGATGAGGGTCTCTGGCCCTGGCTGCCCTCCGGCACTGTGGAGAGGCTCTGTAGACGCACATGCATGGGGCAGGCCAGCTCATGAGCAGGGGGTGACAGGAGCCGGACCCACCCTTTTAAAAGTTTTCCCTTGGCATGGCCTGATTTGTGTATCCCAGGAGTCTTGCTGTGGGGCCTTGGACAGGGCAAGGCGCAGGGGCCAGGATAGAATGAGCCATGTGGGTTGTCAATGCTACGACAGCTAGAGAGGGTTGCATGCGGGTCCTCTCTCTTATTCCCCTGAGCCTGCTGACGCTCTAGTGTTTGACACCGTGCAGGTACCACTTTGCCCTCTGGGGCCTTCCCACGGAGGATCTTAAAGCACTTCATCCTCCCTGCGAGAAAGGAATGACCATTATCCCCAAAGGGAAACTGAGGCACGGTGTCAGGGCAAGTCAGACCCAGCTCCCATCAAAGGCTTTGGGAGCCTGTTGACTCCAGTGGAGTGGAGGAGGCCCTAAGCGAGCTCTCTGGACGCCCTGGCAGAAGAAGGCAGAGAGCTGTTCCCCAGGGCTAGGCTCTCCTCTGCACCCACCATCCCTCCCTCTCCCCAAAGCGTTAGCTGGCTGAGCCCCTCGGCCCCACCTGTAGCCTTTCTCCTCCTCGATGGGGTTTCCGTGCAGGGTCAATGTGCGCAGGCACGGCAGGACGGCCAGCTTGTCCACCTCACTGAGGCTCTGGATGCTGTTCCCGTGCAGGTTGAGGGCCCGGAGCTGGGGATATGTAGTCAGCACCTGCAACCACAAAACCCCCAGCCCCAGTGAGAGAGGGAGCAGAGAGCCTGGAAGCAAAGCAAGCCTCTCCCAGGGTAACAGCTGGGCCATGAGACACTCCCCTGTCAAAAGCAGCCCCAGCTGGGCTTTGACTTTCCCTAGCCTCTTTCACCCCAGGATTTCACAGTGCTTTACGAGCATGGAGCAGGAACCTTCTCACAAACAAATTAGGGAAATACAACCTAGATGCAGCTACTGTAAGGTGGGTGCATAACCGGTTGGAAAACCATTCCCAGAGAGTAAAAAGAAAAGGAGGACTTGTGGCACCTTAGAGACTAATAAATTTATTTGAGCATAAGCTTATGCTCAAATAAATTTGTTAGTCTCTAAGGTGCCACAAGTCCTCCTTTTCTTTTTGCAAATACAGACTAACACGGCTGCTACTCTGAAACCTCCCAGAGAGTAATTATCATGGTTCACAATCAAGCTGCAAGGGCATAATGAGTGGGGTCCTGCAGGGATCAGTTCTGGGTCCCATTCTGTTCAATATCTTCATCAGTGATTTAGATAATTGCATAGAGAGTACGCTGATAAAGTTTGCAGGTGATAGCAAGCTGGGAGGGGTTGCAAGTGCTTTGGAGGATAGGATTAAAATTCAAAACGATCTGGACAAACTGCAGAAATGGTCTGAAGTAAATAGGATAAAATTCAATAAGGACAAATGCAAAGTACTCCCCTTAGGAAGGACCCATCAGTTACACATATACAAAATGGGAAATGACTGCCTAGGAAGGAGTCCTGTGGAAAGGGATCTGGGGGTCACAGTGGATCACAAGCTAAATACGAGTCAGCAGTGTAACGCTCTTGCAAATAAAAAGCAAACATCATTCTGGGACATATTAGCAGGAGTGTTGAAAGCAAGACACGAGAAGTAATTCTTCCACTCTACTCCACGCTGACTAGGCCTCAGCTGGAGTATTGTGTCCAGTTCTGGGCGCCACATTTCAGGAAGGATGTGGACGAATTTGAGAAAGTCCAGAGAAGAGCAACAAAAATGATTAAAGGTCTAGAAAACATGACCTATGAGGGAAGATTGAAAAAACTGGGTTTGGTTAGTCTGGAGAAGAGAAGACTGAGAGGGGACATGATAACAGTTTTCAAGTACATAAAAGGTTGTTACAAGGAGGAGGGAGAAAAATTGTTGTTCTTAACCTCTGAGGTTAGGACAAGAAGCAATGGGCTTAAATTGCAGCAAGGATGGTTTAGGTTGGACATTAGAAAAACTTCCTAACTGTCAGGGTGGTTAAGCACTGGAATAAATTGCCTAGGGCGGTGGTGGAATCTCCATCAGTGGAGATTTTTAAGAGCGGGTTGGACAAACACCTGCCAGGGATGGAATGCATCCGATGAAGTGAGCTGTAGCTCACGAAAGCTTATGCTCAAATAAATTTGTTAGTCTCTAAGGTGCCACAAGTCCTCCTTTTCTTTTTTCTAGATAATACTTAGTGCTGCCATGAATGCTGGGGACTGGACTAGATGACCTCTGCAGTCCTACGATTCTATAAGTGGGGCAGGACCACTATCCCAGCTCTGCGGAGTGGGAAACTGAGGAACAGGGAAGAACCGGGACTCACCCAAGGCCCGACTGGGACCCAGCTGGGAAAAGCAGCCTGATTTTGCCCAGAGCTTAGGGGACACACAATAGGGCTGTGATTTACCAAACTGCTCACCATTGGCCTGTCAGCTCCCCTTGAACTCCAGGGGGCTTCTATAATGGCAGCAGAGTAAGGCCAACGCTGAGCCCTTCCGAGACCCCCGCAGCTCCGACTGGCGGGGATCCCCTGAATTGCCTGAGCTCCCTAAAGGTGGCCATGGCATCACCCCACTCCCCATAGCAATCCTGCCCTGCCAGCTGTTCCCCTCTGCCACCAGGCTGCACTAGTGCAGGGGCAGGAGGCAGACTGGAGCGGACGGTGAGGAGCACTCAGGCTCTAATCAAAGTCTGGTGAGTCAGGGCTGCAGAGCAGTAACACCGGCATGGACTAAGCACCCAGTGCCACTGCAAGGGGCTACCTGGGAGCATTTGCTTTTATATCCCACGTACAGCTGCAGTGTGTAATCCAGCTGTACTCACGCAGCTGTGGTGCTGTTTCAGTCGCACACCTCAAAGCGGGTGGAGGGGTATCACCACTATTTTACAGGTGGGGAAACTGAGGCACATAGAGGGGCAGGAATTTGCCCGAGACCTCAGGGGGAGTTGGTGTCAGAAGCAGGGTTAGGAGCCTGCCCTGTTGAGGGCTAACCCCCTGAGCCACCATCCCACAGTGCTCCCATTCAGCCATACCGGGTCGATAGTAGGCAAGTCGTTGAAGGAGAGGTCGACCCAGGAGAGCTCGTCGGGGTACTCCAGCAGCTGCTCCATGGTGGAGGTGAAGTCGGTCAGCTCATTGATGGTGTTGTTATTCAGGCGCACAGCCTGGGTCAGCAGCTTCCCCCCGGCCGAGCGCTTGATCACCTTGAGGCCAGCCCGGGGCTCCTCTGTCAGCAGGTCTAGTGGGGAGAGCAGGGAGGGGGGTTAGAGCTGCCTTGGGAAAGAGTCTTATCTGCTGCTGATTCGGTCGGTGGCAGAGTACTGCAGCAGTGCCGGCTGGGCAGACACAGACCCGGTCTACCTTGGTTCTGATGCGGCTCCCGTCACCCTAGTATCTGGGCACCTCCCTGCACTCCGGTTAACCCACCCCGCAGCTGTGCTGGGGTTCCCGCAGGATCAGACAGGGAGGGGGCCGCCGGTTCCCCGCGCTCCTCGCCGGTGCCGGCACAGCCTGATTCTCTACAGCAACAGTTTCTAGCCCTTGCTCCAGGCTCGTCTGCGGCGTGTTTTAGGGACCCATGTTGCTAGTTGCTCCGAAGCTGGTGGAAATGCTGGTCCAGTGGCTAAGGCAATGGGCTGAGGGGCAGTAGACCCAGCTTCCACTTCTGGCTCTGCCACCAGCTTCCTGGGTGACCACGGGCAAGCCACTCCCTCTCCCTGGGCCACGGGGACAAGTCATGGTATGCCCTTCCTTCCCCTTGTGTCTGTCTTGTCTTGGGAGTTTGCAGGCTCTTCAGGGCAGGGGCTATGGGTCCGTGCCACACCTCGGACAACAGGGTCGGGAGGCTGGCTGGGGGCACTACCAGAGTTTTGCTAAGGAGGGGCCCAGGTTACCTGCCTGGTCACCCCAAATCAAAGTGGTGTTGCAACCTGGTGTACAGGGTCACCACGCCACTCCAGGCTGGCCCGGCCAGCCTCTGTCATGGCAGCAGGGAAGGGACTTTGCCGTGATGCCACCCAGATCTGGCCAAGGAGGAGGGCTGGCCCCCTGTTCCCTCCCCACTGCCCTATTGCACCCCTGAAAACAACGTCGCTTGACATTGTCCATGCTGAGAATGCAGCAGAAGGGCTGCCAGCTGGCTAGGAGACCTGTGTGGCAGGGCAAACCCCGTCAGTAACAGGACTGCTCTGGGAGAGAGCTCCCGGGATCTGACCCTCGTCCCTGGCCGGGTCTGTGAAGCCCCCGGTGGGACGGCAGGGAGCCAGCTGACTTAAGACTGAACCAGCTGCCAGCTAACGGCACCTTCATCATGCATAACTCAAAGGCTGGCCCAGTGACACGCCCTTTGCAGGGGAACCCCGACACTGGGGACAGAGGCCCTAAGCACGGCTGTGCGCTTTGCTTGCTCTGGCTGAATCCCATCACACGACAGGGGTGGCGGCAGTATTAAAACGTGCAGTTGGCTTATTTCCCACTTTGCTCTCTGGCCTTTTCTGGTCACTCCCGGTGCCTTGTGCTGTAGCTCGGGAAGCAGCGTTGAAGGGTTAGAGCAGGAGGCAGGACTCCCGGTTCTATTTCCAGCTCTGGAAGGGGGTGTGTGCTCTGCTGGTGGGAGAGGGACTGGGAGACAAGATGCCACACCTTGGATGAAGCTGATGCCTCGGAAGGAATAGTCCAGAGGAGGTGCCCGCAGTGAGATCTTACAGCAATCCCATCGCATGCTCATCTTTCAGGCCACGCTAGGAAAAACCACAGAAGAGGGAGTTGCTTGTGTGACTTGTGGTTAACCAGTGGGGTGAGACCAAAGTCTGCTCTGTTTGGCTGGTTTGGTTTGCCTTAGAGGTGGAACGACCCCAGCCTTGGGCAAAAAGAAAAGGAGGGCTTGTGGCACCTTAGAGACTAACAAATTTCCGATGAAGTGAGCTGTAGCTCACGAAAGCTTATGCTCAAATAAATTTGTTAGTCTCTAAGGTGCCACAAGTCCTCCTTTTCTTTTTGCGGATACAGACTAACACGGCTGCTACTCTGAAGCCTTGGGCAGTAACTGCCCTGCTTCAAGCAATTTGTCCTGAATTGGCACTCTCAGTTGGGTCCCGCCAGAACCAGCATCGTTACAGTAGGAACAAGAATACCGCATCCAATCAAAAGGGCAGGAGAGCTGAGGTTGGCAACATTTAACTTCATGTTTAATTTTGTGGTGTGCAGGTCTCTGAATTCACTACGGATGGACACAGCTAGCTGGTTCCTGGCCCAGGATGTACAGGCCTGCTCCTCGGAGCCAATGAGCTCAGCCCAGAATTCCCATCTAACAATAAAGTTTTGTTCCCAGTTCTGCTACTCTCTCCTTGTGCAACCCAGGGCAAATTCCCTAATTCCTCCGTGCCTAAGTGGAAATGCATGGCTGCCTTTGCCCTGGCACACTGATTTCACAGATGTTGTTTTATGTTCTAATAGCTGATTTTCTCATAGTGCTTTTCAGTCCCCAAGCACTTGACAAACTAACAACACGTCCAAAGGGCTCAAAGCTGTTTAAAATATTCATTCATTGAGCTTTCCAAGTGTTATGTTAGGAAGTCAGTGTGGTTGCCTCCATTTTACAGGTGGGGAAACTGGGTTAGAAATTTGCCCAAAGTCACACAGCGAGTCAGAGGGCGAGCCAGATATAGATGGTGGTCTCCTGACTGCAGCTCCCCTGCATTCAACAAGGGCCCCTCCATTTTCCTATGAGGCGATCACTCTGCCTTTGAAATGCAGCCACCTGGCATACAGCACAAGAAGTGATGGTGTTAAAAGGGATGCTTTGAAAACGTTTACTCCACAAACAGCACCACTGGACTGGTAACATCCTGCGTGCAGTGAGGCTCCTTCTGAAAGACACAGTGAGCTGGTCCCCGACGCTGGAGCCAGACCTCTTTAATAGAGATCTCTCTGTGTGAGCAAATGGCTTCGTTCCGGGGGCGCTCACACCCTTCTCAAGACTGTGAAAACAACAAGCACAGTACAAAGGACAGCGCCACAGAGTGTGGGGCTGCACGGGTCTCAGCGAGGGCAGAATGCGGTTTGGCAATTGGGACACGGATGCCAATTCTGCCTTTTGCCGGGGGCCATTTGTACACAGTCAACTTTCTGGCTACAAGCACTTTAAGGCACCCAGATACCAGGGTGATGAGAGCCATATAAGAACCTGGGATAGGTAACTAGAACCTGTCTTTCTTGGGAGCAGGGGGAGCTGCCTCAGTTTCCACTGAGCCATCCCGGGAATGGAACCCTCGCTTTAAGCGCTGCTTCACCGAAAGTGAGGCCCAGGGAACTGGGCGCCCACTGCAGCTGCACACCCTGGCTGCTGCCTGCCCAGACCTACACACCCAATTCACAGAGCTACACACTCAGTTCAGAGCTCCACGCTCGGTCACATCACAGGTTTACATTTACAGTACCGTATTTTCACACTCAGCATGCCCTTGCAGAATTACCACGCTCACTGCCCGGCTTTCCGTGTACGCTGTGCTCTTGCATAGCTTTTCATACTCGTCAAGCAATTATATGGATTTCACACTCACCAGTGCCCTGCACAGATTTACATGCCCACTAGGCCCTGGCCCCTCTTTTCACACTCAATAGCACCCTGCACAGATTTTCACACCCACCTTCCCCTGGTCCCTCTTTTCACCCTCACCAGTGCCAGGCACAGATTTACACACCCACCAGCCCCTGGCCCCTCTTTTCACCCTCACCAGTGCCAGGCACAGATTTACACACCCACTAGTCCCAGGCCCCTCTTTTCACCCTCACCATGCCAGGCACAGATTTACACACCCACCAGCCCCTGGCCCCTCTTTTCACCCTCACCATGCCAGGCACAGATTTACACACCCACCAGCCCCTGGCCCCTCTTTTCACCCTCACCAGTGCCAGGCACAGATTTACACACCCACCAGCCCCTGGCCCCTCTTTTCACCCTCACCAGTGCCAGGCACAGATTTACACACCCACTAGTCCCAGGCCCCTCTTTTCACCCTCACCATGCCAGGCACAGATTTACACACCCACCAGCCCCTGGCCCCTCTTTTCACCCTCACCAGTGCCAGGCACAGATTTACACACCCACTAGTCCCAGGCCCCTCTTTTCACCCTCACCATGCCAGGCACAGATTTACACACCCACTAGTCCCAGGCCCCTCTTTTCACCCTCACCAGTGCCAGGCACAGATTTACACACCCACTAGTCCCAGGCCCCTCTTTTCACCCTCACCATGCCAGGCACAGATTTACACACCCACTAGTCCCAGGCCCCTCTTTTCACCCTCACCAGTGCCAGGCACAGATTTACACACCCACCAGCCCCTGGCCCCTCTTTTCACCCTCACCATGCCAGGCACAGATTTACACACCCACCAGCCCCTGGCCCCTCTTTTCACCCTCACCAGTGCCAGGCACAGATTTACACACCCACCAGCCCCTGGCCCCTCTTTTCACCCTCACCATGCCAGGCACAGATTTACACACCCACCAGCCCCTGGCCCCTCTTTTCACCCTCACCAGTGCCAGGCACAGATTTACACACCCACTAGCCCCTGGCCCCTCTTTTCACCCTCACCAGTCCTTGGCCCCTCTTTTCACACTCAGTGCAAAGATTTTTCACACTCACCATCTCTGTCCCTCTCCCCTCACTAGATGGAACTCTCGGGGTAGCCATGGTAACCAGAACCACACCAAAAGCCCGACCCAGCCCCGACCCCGCACGGCATGCCGGGAAGTGTAGTTACTGGGGAGCTAATTGGGAACTACATGTCCCAGAGGGGCTCGCGGCGAGAGTTCCCCACCTGTCGCGGGATTTACTCCCGCTCCACCCTAGGGCTCCTGGGAGCTGTAGTTCCCCCCCACGTGATATGCATCAGATGACGTACACGCGGCCTGCAGCCAATAGGGAGGGGGGCATGGGGGGGCGGCGCAGCTGTTTGAATCGGTGAGGGCCGCGCTGCCGCCCAGGGGCCAAGGGGGGAGTCACGGGGCACCGCCCGCCCCGCTGCTTCGAGGGAATACGGTAAAGGGGGGCTGGGGCCTGCCCCTGGCGGCGGCGGGCGCGGCTGCCGTACTGGGCGTGCGGAGGGGGGAGGGGCGGTGACCGGGGAGCTGGGGCCACGGGGGGGGGTGACTGGGGAGGAGCTGAGGGGAGAGCTGGGGGGCGGTGACTTGGGGGAGCTGGGGGGGAAGGGGAGCTGGGGGGGGGGACGGTGACTTGGGGGAGCTGGGGGGGGAAGGGAAGCTGGGGGGGGACGGTGACTTGGGGGGGGGAGCTGGGGGGAAGGGGAGCTGGGGGGGGGGGACGGTGACTTGGGGGAGCTGGGGGGGAAGGGAAGCTGGGGGGGGACGGTGACTTGGGGAGCTGGGGGAAGGGAAGCTGGGGGGACGGTGACTTGGGGAGCTGGGGGGAAGGGAAGCTGGGGGGGGACGGTGACTTGGGGGAGCTGGGGGGAAGGGGAGCTGGGGGGGACGGTGACTTGGGGGAGCTGGGGGGGAAGGGAAGCTGGGGGGGACGGTGACTTGGGGGAGCTGGGGGGAAGGGAAGCTGGGGGGGACGGTGACTTGGGGAAGCTGGGGGGAAGGGAAGCTGGGGGGGGGGGAGGTGACTTGGGGGGAGCTGGGGGGACGGTGACTTGGGGGAGCTGGGGGGGAAGGGAAGCTGGGGGGGGACGGTGACTTGGGGGAGCTGGGGGGGAAGGGAAGCTGGGGGGGGACGGTGACTTGGGGGAGCTGGGGGGGAAGGGAAGCTGGGGGGGACGGTGACTTGGGGGAGCTGGAGGGGAAGGGAAGCTGGGGGCGGACGGTGACTTGGAGGAGCTGGGGGGGAAGGGAAGCTGGGGGGACGGTGACTTGGGGAAGCTGGGGAGGAAGGGAAGCTGGGGGGACGGTGACTTGGGGAAGCTGGGGGGGACGGTGACTTGGGGGAGCTGGGGGGAAGGGAAGCTGGGGGGGACGGTGACTTGGGGGAGCTGGGGGGAAGGGAAGCTGGGGGGACGGTGACTTGGGGGAGCTGGGGGGAAGGGAAGCTGGGGGGGACGGTGACTTGGGGGAGCTGGGGGGGAAGGGAAGCTGGGGGCGGACGGTGACTTGGAGGAGCTGGGGGGAAGGGAAGCTGGGGGGACGGTGACTTGGGGGAGCTGGGGGGAAGGGAAGCTGGGGGGGACGGTGACTTGGGGGAGCTGGGGGGAAGGGAAGCTGGGGGGGACGGTGACTTGGGGGAGCTGGGGTGGAAGGGAAGCTGGGGGGGGACGGTGACTTGGGGGAGCTGGGGGGGAAGGGAAGCGGGGGGACGGTGACTTGGAGGAGCTGGGGGGGAAGGGAAGCTGGGGGGGACGGTGACTTGGGGAAGCTGGGGGGGACGGTGACTTGGGGGAGCTGGGGGGAAGGGAAGCTGGGGGGGACGGTGACTTGGGGGAGCTGGGGGGGAAGGGAAGCTGGGGGGGACGGTGACTTGGGGGAGCTGGGGGGAAGGGAAGCTGGGGGGGACGGTGACTTGGGGAAGCTGGGGGGGGACGGTGACTTGGGGGAGCTGGGGGGAAGGGAAGCTGGGGGGGGACGGTGACTTGGGGGAGCTGGGGGGAAGGGAAGCTGGGGGGACGGTGACTTGGGGGAGCTGGGGGGAAGGGAAGCTGGGGGGGACGGTGACTTGGGGGAGCTGGGGGGAAGGGAAGCTGGGGGCGGACGGTGACTTGGAGGAGCTGGGGGGAAGGGAAGCTGGGGGGACGGTGACTTGGGGGAGCTGGGGGGAAGGGAAGCTGGGGGGGACGGTGACTTGGGGGAGCTGGGGGGAAGGGAAGCTGGGGGGGGACGGTGACTTGGGGGAGCTGGGGGGGAAGGGAAGCTGGGGGGGACGGTGACTTGGGGGAGCTGGGGGGAAGGGAAGCGGGGGGGATGGTGACTTGGAGGAGCTGGGGGGAAGGGAAGCTGGGGGGGACGGTGACTTGGGGAAGCTGGGGGGGGGGGACGGTGACTTGGGGGAGCTGGGGGGAAGGGAAGCTGGGGGGGACGGTGACTTGGGGGAGCTGGGGGGGAAGGGAAGCTGGGGGGACGGTGACTTGGGGGAGCTGGGGGGGAAGGGAAGCTGGGGGGGACGGTGACTTGGGGAAGCTGGGGGGGACGGTGACTTGGGGGAGCTGGGGGGAAGGGAAGCTGGGGGGGACGGTGACTTGGGGGAGCTGGGGGGAAGGGAAGCTGGGGGGGACGGTGACTTGGGGGAGCTGGGGGGAAGGGAAGCTGGGGGGTTGGGACGGTGACTTGGAGGAGCTGGGGGGGAAGGGAAGCTGGGGGGGACGGTGACTTGGGGGAGCTGGGGGGGAAGGGAAGCTGGGGGGGACGGTGACTTGGGGGAGCTGGGGGGAAGGGAAGCTGGGGGGGACGGTGACTTGGGGGAGCTGGGGGGGAAGGGAAGCTGGGGGGGACGGTGACTTGGGGGAGCTGGGGGGGAAGGGAAGCGGGGGGGATGGTGACTTGGAGGAGCTGGGGGGAAGGGAAGCTGGGGGGGGGACGGTGACTTGGGGAAGCTGGGGGGACGGTGACTTGGGGGAGCTGGGGGGAAGGGAAGCTGGGGGGACGGTGACTTGGGGGAGCTGGGGGGGAAGGGAAGCTGGGGGGGACGGTGACTTGGGGGAGCTGGGGGGGAAGAGAAGCTGGGGGGGATGGTGACTTGGGGGAGCTGGGGGGAAGGGAAGCTGGGGGGACGGTGACTTGGGGGAGCTGGGGGGAAGGGAAGCTGGGGGGGGATGGTGACTTGGGGGAGCTGGGGGGGAAGGGAAGCTGGGGGGGACGGTGACTTGGGGGAGCTGGGGGGAAGGGGAGCTGGGGGGACGGTGACTTGGGAGCTGGGGGGGAAGGGAAGCTGGGGGGACGGTGACTTGGGAGCTGGGGGGAAGGGAAGCTGGGGGGGACGGTGACTTGGGGGAGCTGGGGGGGAAGGGAAGCTGGGGGGGACGGTGACTTGGGGGAGCTGGGGGGAAGGGAAGCTGGGGGGGACGGTGACTTGGGGGAGCTGGGAGGGAAGGGAAGCTGGGGGGGACGGTGACTTGGGGGAGCTGGGGGGAAGGGAAGCTGGGGCGGGACGGTGACTTGGGGGAGCTGGGGGGGAAGGGAAGCTGGGGGGGACGGTGACTTGGGGGAGCTGGGGGGGACGGTGACTTGGGGGAGCTGGGGGGAAGGGAAGCTGGGGGGACGGTGACTTGGGGGAGCTGGGGGGGAAGGGAAGCTGGGGCGGGACGGTGACTTGGGGGAGCTGGGGGGGAAGGGAAGCTGGGGGGGGACGGTGACTTGGGGGAGCTGGGGGGGACGGTGACTTGGGGGAGCTGGGGGGGAAGGGAAGCTGGGGGGGACGGTGACTTGGGGGAGCTGGGGGGAAGGGAAGCTGGGGGGGACGGTGACTTGGGGGAGCTGGGGGGAAGGGAAGCTGCGGGGACGATGATTTGGGGGAGCTGGGGGGACGGTGGCTGGAGGGGAGAGGAGGTGCTGAGGGGAGGGGGAAGCTGGGGGGATGGTGACTTGTGGGGAGCTGGGGGGATGGTGATTTGGGGGGAGCTGGGGGGAAGGGAAGCTGGGGGGGGACGGTGACTTGGGGGAGCTGGGGGGAAGGGAAGCTGGGGGGGACGGTGACTTGGGGGAGCTGGGGGGGAAGGGAAGCTGGGGGGGACGGTGACTTGGGGGAGCTGGGGGGGAAGGGAAGCTGGGGGGGCGGTGACTTGGGGGAGCTGGGGGGAAGGGAAGCTGGGGGGGACGGTGACTTGGGGGAGCTGGGGGGAAGGGAAGCTGGGGGGGACGGTGACTTGGGGGAGCTGGGGGAAGGGAAGCTGGGGGGACGGTGACTTGGGGGAGCTGGGGGGAAGGGAAGCTGCGGGGACGATGATTTGGGGGAGCTGGGGGGACGGTGGCTGGAGGGGAGAGGAGGTGCTGAGGGGAGGGGGGAAGCTGGGGGGATGGTGACTTGTGGGGAGCTGGGGGGATGGTGATTTGGGGGGAGCTGGGGGGAAGGGAAGCTGGGGGGGACGGTGACTTGGGGGAGCTGGGGGGAAGGGAAGCTGGGGGGGCGGTGACTTGGGGAGCTGGGGGGGAAGGGAAGCTGGGGGGGCGGTGACTTGGGGGAGCTGGGGGGAAGGGAAGCTGGGGGGGACGGTGACTTGGGGGAGCTGGGGGGAAGGGAAGCTGGGGGGACGGTGACTTGGGGGAGCTGGGGGGGAAGGGAAGCTGGGGGGACGGTGACTTGGGGGAGCTGGGGGGGAAGGGAAGCTGGGGGGGACGGTGACTTGGGGGAGCTGGGGGGAAGGGAAGCTGGGGGGGGGACGGTGACTTGGGGGAGCTGGGGGGAAGGGAAGCTGGGGGGGACGGTGACTTGGGGGAGCTGGGGGGAAGGGAAGCTGGGGGGGACGGTGACTTGGAGGAGCTGGGGGGGAAGGGAAGCTGGGGGGGGACGGTGACTTGGGGGAGCTGGGGGGGAAGGGAAGCTGGGGGGGACGGTGACTTGGGGGAGCTGGGGGGAAGGGAAGCTGGGGGGACGGTGACTTGGGGGAGCTGGGGGGAAGGGAAGCTGGGGGGACGGTGACTTGGGGGAGCTGGGGGGGAAGGGAAGCTGGGGGGGACGGTGACTTGGGGGAGCTGGGGGGAAGGGAAGCTGGGGGGGACGGTGACTTGGGGGAGCTGGGGGGGAAGGGAAGCTGGGGGGGGACGGTGACTTGGGGGAGCTGGGAGGGAAGGGAAGCTGGGGGGG